CACACAAGCAACAACTTGAAAGAGGCTACATGACAAGATGTGGGGGGGGGTAAGGGAAACGCGATGAATCAGGCAAGTATAGGGATAGTTATATTTTGTCTGTTTCTCAAAGTAAGTTGATGGACAAGTATTCATATATATCTAAGTGTGTGTGTGTGTGATGTGAATGAGGATGACAGTGGAATACAGTGGAACACCATGTCAACATTTCATCATGTATCGATGTCATAAACATAACAATCATTTTCTGATATCAATATGATTGACAGAAAACAGGAGAGAGAGATAGAGATGAAGAGATAAGGATGGAGCGCGAGCAAACGGAATGGTTATACATAATCATAATAAATAATAACACTAGCAGTGTCAAACAGAGAGACAGACAACAGAAGAGTAGTAGTAGTCATAGTAGTAATTCGATAGAACAACAACCACAACAGGTTGTGTGTTTTTGTCTCACAGTGTCTGCATTTTTTATCCTCAGCCTTTCCCACACATGTACACAACACAACACCGACATCAACACTCGGGACATCGATAGATAGATAGATTTACATATATATGTGAACAAAATCACTAACTAACAAGTCTCCAAATTCTCTCTTCACAGTTTTTTTCTTCATAGTCTCCTCACATTGATTGTACATAATAAATAATACAGTCATTCTTGTTGGAGGACAAATATATATATAAGATGGAGGTTGGGGGGGAGGAAGGCGAATGCAAAACAAAAAACAACACATTTTTACATGAAAAAGGAAATAACATGTTGTTATGATTATTAGTATTGTCGCTGTCTCATTTAAGTGATAATAAGTTTTAAATTTATACATAAGAGAGAGAGAGAGAGAGAGAAGAGAGTGTGGAATCAGGGAGTAGTGGATGTGGTTTTGTATATATATATATATAGAGAGAGAGTGCATTCGTTGGGAACATTATTAACATAGAAAAAACTGACTGTCTTGTAATTAACACATGAGGCTTCATCACCTCTCAATTACACACACAGAGAGAGACATACAGAAACGCGGATTCTAAATACACTGAAATGATGTTGTACACGTAGAGAGAGATTGGACGCCATGTGTGTGTGTGCGTGTGTGTATGGAAAGTCAAAATTCACAGAAGAAAAAAAGGAGAAACCAGATGGTCTTAACCCGAAGAATAAACACGAGTTTTTGACTCGTCACATACACCCAAATACACACACACCACACACACACACACAAAGAGAGGCATAAGATCCTATCTATGGTGATTGTGTTTATCATTATTAGTATTGATCATTTTGGTCTGGAATAAAAAGCAACACCAACACACAGCAGAACAAGACAAGACAAGAATAAGAGAAGATAAGATAAAAGAACTTTAAAAGAGAATAGAGAGAGAGAGAGAGACAAGTGATGAACGTACGTACGTACGTAGATATATAAATAATCAAAGAATGATACATTTACGTTTGGATGTTTTCTGTTTCACTGGTGGTATTTGCTTGTTGATTTGGCGTACAAGATCAATGAATATCTAAAGTTGTTTTTTTTTAATTCAGAGAAAAAAAAGAATAATAATAATAATAATTTTAAAAACAACTCAAAATTGAATTTAATTCATAATGTCAAAAGCCAATCAGAATCACGTAGAGAGAGAAAGGATTCATTCAAGGTCATTGACAAACAAACAAACAAACAAACGCGAAACTGGGATGTTTGTTGACTATTGAACGTGTAATGAATGATTAAACTTAGCGAGGAAAACATCATTAATTAATTTTTAAAAAATGCTCGGTATTTGAGAAAAACACCTAATTATGTGTGTGTGTGTGAGTGCGAGAATGGAATATACGCACGCAAACGAATATGAGATGACGTGAGATTTCGTTAAAATCTTTCTAAAAAGTTTAAGGTTTAGGCTTAGAGTATACAGTCAGTTAGTCAACAACAACATAGAACTTTGTACGTACATACGTACATCTCAGTTCAAGTTGTCATACCACATTAGCACAGAAATATAATTCTCAATTCAAATCCCATAGTAGTAGAGGTAGTAGAAGTATTAGCAGTAATTGGAGAGATAAGGGTTCGAAGATGTCACTAAAGAAGTAGAATCTAGTGAAACAAACTTAAAAAGAAGATAAAATGATGGGGAATTCACAAGGTTAGGATTTGAGAGAACACAAAGAATGTATGCACCTGTACCATTGCAAACGGTTTTCAGAGACATCGTTCAGGGTCTCTAACCATCGATTGCTATCATTTCGCGGACCCCAACCAGGTAGTTGACACCCACCAACATGACTCAATCCAGTTGTCCGTGACTTCATGAATTTATGCCATGTTTTGGTTTGGCCACCCCTAGCTTTCTTCCAACCCACTGTTACATAACAAGACATCGCTCGTCGAGGAAGTCGGTGGGTGGGTATACGTAACACATGTCCCAACCACATGTCTTGCGTGGTTGGGACATGTTCCACAGCCATAAAGTAGGACGAGGCAAACTACTGCACAGTACACTCGTCGTTTGGTTAGCAAACGGATATCTCACCTGCGCCAGAAGTGACGCAGGTTGGCAAAAGCCAATCGAGCCTTCTGTATCCGAGCTGAGATTTCGTCAGTCACCAGGCCATCGGCACTGATGAGACTCCTAAGATAAGTGAAGCGGTGTACACGTTCGACTACTTCACTCCCTACCACTAGTTCAGGTGCCGATGAAACCCAATCTTGAAGCAACATTTTGCATTTCGAGGGAGAAAACCGCATCCCGAACATGCTTGCATTGTTGCTTAGGTTAGTTAGAAGACTCTGCATTTTGTCGTCATCACCAAATAGAACTATGTTATCGGCATATTCTAGGTCAACAAGCGTGTCTCCTGGTAGAAGGTTCACCGCTGAATAGTCAGCCGTAGTTTGTAAACAGTCTTTTTTAAGGTACAGATTGCTGCTGACAGTAGAATGGAAGATGCAAGTCTTGTCCTATTCAGGACACGAACCTATTACCTTTTATTTTAAACAGTAACTCATTACAATATGAAAATTAACTTTACTCTAAAAACGTGGACATCAACAATAAGATGCATAGATATTCAACTGACGAGTCCGAAATCAAAATAAGAAACGCGCTGCATGCCCTCATCAATCAATCAACGGCAACGTAGAACTTCGTACGTACGTACATTAGTGCAAGTTGCCATACCACATTAGCACAGATACGCAATTGTCACTTCAAATTCCATAGTGGCAGAAGTATTAGCAGTAGTCGGAGAGATTAGGGTTCGACGAAATTATTCAAGAAGTAGAATCTAGTGAAATAGACTTAAAAGGATAAAGATAAAGTGATGAAGAATTGAATTAAAATTTGAGAGAACACAAAGAATAAATGTACATGCGTCATTGCAAATGGTTTTGAGCCATGTCATTCAGGGTCTCTAACCATCGCTTACTATCGTCTCGCGGACCCCAACCAGTTAGCCGACACCTACCAACATGACTCAGTCCACTTGTCAGTGACTTCATGGATTTGTGCAAAGTTTTGGTCCGGCTGCCCCTAGCTTCCTTACAACCTATTTCTACATTGCAAAGCATCGCTCAACAAGGCAGTCGGTGGTTGGGGCATACGTAACACATGTCCCAACCACTTCAACTGATGCAGCATGCCCCAACACTAGATAAAACACATCTATTCTTAAAAAAAGTTTGAAAAACACAATTAGAAATGTTGCTTAACACAAAATGTAGAAGAGCAACAGAGAAAGAATACAACTGACAGAAAATTAGCACTTGTCGGCACAGCTTAGATCAGTCAGAAATTGTGTGGATCGACCTCATATATATGTTTCGATTCCCAATATTTTGATACACCGTATGTAAACTGTTTTTTTTTTTTGAGTAATTAATACTATTTGTAAGTTGCAAACAGCTGAAGAGAAACCATGAAATTGATGAATTCATGCTATTCTGTGAGATTTATCCTTCCTGCTTTATTCAAACCTAATGATGATAATAAGCATGTCATAAATTAACTTTACACTGATCACTAGATAGTCAGTAACCTATACGTGTCTAGGAAAATGTCCGTTGTGACCTCCATAGCTTACTGATAACTGATCTGAGTGTATGAAGAAACTGAATGACACAGGTCTGAATCTCATAGGTTTGTATAGTGTGTACAAACATTCGAGGCCCGAGTTCTTAATCAGTTGTATCTTGACCTTATCAATTATTATTGGATTGTAACCTTGGTTGTTTTTAATTGAGTGTGTGTGTGTACATGCTTACTTCGCTTACTACATATCTAGCCTATTATTGTCTGATTATAAATACTTAGGCGTTCGAGCGCAAGACCGAATGTCCGGGGGTCGAACCATGTGAGTAGCAGGAATCGTGAGTGCACACTACCACTGAAGAGTCCCATGCCAGGACGAAACGGCCTTCCGGTGTTTCCAGGTTTCTAATGGTGGTCTAGCATTGATCGATTCATAATTTCAAACATAAATACTTAGTCATGCCTCATCACATGTAATTGGCTCACTCGCCGCTTCTACTCTGCGCTTTGCCTTTGAGCTTCGTATTCTCATGTCTATCTACGCATGAACGGTAGCATGAAATAAACTCGTGGTCCAATTGAATTTGTATCTGGCTTCCTATTATACTTGTAAACTTACCGCTTTACTTTTCGAGTGACTATCAGATCCTGACTGCTCATAGCACTAAAAGATACTTCTTTTTGAGGAGACATCTGAAGAAGGAACTAGATTGGAAGTAGTCTTGAGAACCTGCATGTTTGACCGCACAATCTGAGGGACAACTGGTTGAAACTGGTCTCACAACCTTTATATTCGAGTAAACCTTTATTTTATCTCTATGTACTTTAGTACCCTTCTACAGAAGGCAGAAATCTCTGGAGTAAAGGTTAGGCATTTTTACCGCCGAGCTTTTACTAAGCCATTCCTTTTATTGTAGGAATGATTTTATGGCTAAAGATCTCCTGATTGTCTACGAGGAATATCGTGACACCATCAAACTTCAGTAAGGTCAGTAGTAAGACTACAACTTCAAACAGTAAGCTTTTGCTACAAGTCTTATAATCCTTCAATTAACTAGCCTAGGATGGCAGGACCAAGAGAAACAAGTGTTTCAGTCAATCTGTAATTTAGCTAAGTGATGAAAATGATATGCAAACTATTCAACTACCATTATGTTACACATGGTGCAGCAGCTACTATAAGTGGTTAGGACATGTGTTGCGGAGGCCCAACCACCGACTGCCCCGATGAGCGATGTTTTGTGATGTAGGAATAGATTGGTCAAAGGCTAGGGGGTGGTCAAACCAAAACATCGCACAAATCCATGATAGGTCACTGACAAGTGGACTGAGACATGTTGATAAATCTAGAATACCTGGTTGGGGTCCGCGAGACGATAGTAATCGATGGTTAGAGGCCTTGAATGACATGGCTCAAAATCGTTTGCAATGGCGCAGATGCATCCACTCTTTGTGTTCTATGAAATTTCAATCTTAAGAATTCCTCATCACATCTATCTTCCTCTTTCTAAATTTATCTCACTGAATCAAAGTTTTTGAATAATATCTTCGAACCCTAATCTTTCCGACTACTGCTAATACTTCTACTACCTCTACTACTATGTGATTTGAATTGATAATTACATCTCTTGAGGCACAGTTTTGGAGGTTTGCGTTTCTACACATTTGAAATCATCAATCAATCAATCATTGTTAGACCTGGAAGCACTGAAGGACGGTCGTTACGTCCTAGTATGGGACTACTACTCATCAGTGACAGTGCGCATCCACGACTGCCTGCTCCTCGCAGGATTCGAACACGGGAACTTCAGCATTATAGGCGAACGCCTTACCATCATCGGACCACTGGCCCGGCATCCAACGGTGTTAATGTCTAACTCTAATTGATCTAGGGATTTTGCGCGACCTCACCCAATACATCACTGTATTAATGTGGTACAGCAACTCGAACTAATGTACGTAGTACGCAGTACTGACTGAGCAGCTACTGCAGCTACTGGAGATTTCAATAAAATAAAATAAAAAAAAACCCGGATTTTACAAAACCTACTTACTTCATTGACATTAATTTTAGCTTTGGCACTTGTTTCTAAAAATGAACAATTAAATTGTCGACTAAGTGATTGTCCTTGATCTTTAGCTACAACACGTTCATGTTCTAAATCACATTTATTACCAACAAGTATAAGTGGGAAATTTTGATTATCTTTAACACGTTGAATTTGTTTATATAAATCCATTAAATCATTAAAACTTGATTGTGATGTAACTGAATAACATAAAGCAAAACCTTGACCATTTTTCATATATAAATCACGCATAGCAGTGAATTGTTCCTTTGATCAATCAATATATATATATGAGTGAGAAACAAAAAAATAATAAACAATTAAATAAAATATGAATTCAATTCAATTTAAAACAAAACAAAAAACTGTGATTGATTATTGAATGGACCAAAAAAAACAACAACACACTTTCATTGTTATGCCAGCATGTAAATACGTCAACTTGATATACTTGAATGCTATGACGAGTTTACTTAGTCGGAAAACAGCAGCGAGGATAGAGGATACGACGACATGACATGCTACTCTAATCCGATTATCCCAACCACCATTGGGTGAAAGAAGAAGACTTGATATGAGGGAGAACCTGTATTCTACAAGAATCCAGAAAGTACGAGGTTCGAGTCCAGAAGAGAATCCGGATCCTGGTCCTGCTCCTGGTCATAGAACGTTACAGATAATCCATATTTATACAATTTGGTCGAATAGGAAACAGCATCGAAATCTGTGACATTGACAGTTTAGGACGACCAATAGGAAGCAACATTGATGGTCAGGAAAACCAATAAGAAACAACATTGGAGCACGGGACACTGATATTCAGGACGATCATAAAATTGACCAGTAGGAATTAACCGATAGGAATAGAGCAATAATTCTCTTAGGATATTGGATTAATATCCTAACATTCATACAGTTAAACTGACTGACTGACTGGAGAAACTAATGATCCATTATGATTTATGTGAGTATTGTGCACAAATTTAACGAATTCTGAGGTCATAAAAACGGTTTGACAAACACTTTGAAATATATCGCCAATCTTATATCTGCCTTAATTTATCCCAATATCTACTTGTTTCAGCTTAGCTTTCAATTTTTTAGTGAGAGTTATGAAGATCAGTGTTTTTTTCACACACTGAAATCATGAATCAATCATTGCCGCGCACAAGACCGATGGTGCTAGATTCAAAACCTGAGAGGTGCAGGGGTCATAGAAGCGCACTGCCACTGTTGAGTCCCATGCCAGGACGAAATGACCGTCTTTCAGTGCTTACAGGTTTCTAATGGTGCTGGTCTAACAATGACTGATTGATGATTTGAGTGTGTGAAAAAAACACTGATCTCCATAACCCTAATTGAAAAAATTGTACTATGTGCTCAGTAGTGACTAGAGCTTCACATGAGGAAATTCTCGCAGTTCTAGTCAGAAGACGTGACCAGTGGAGTTCAATCATGTCGGGTGTAGGTAGTTAGTTACCTACCGAAGACAAATGGGTAAGGTCACGCAGAATCCCTAGATTGATCAGAGTTAGACACTAGCACTGTTGGATGCCTACCCAGTGATCCAGAGGTTAGGAGTTCACGCGTAAGACCCAAGGTCCTTGTTTCGAATCTCGCGAGGTGCAGAAGTTGTGGACGCGCACTTCTGATAAGTCCCATACCAAGACCAAAACGGCCGTCCTAGTACTTCAGGTTTCTAATGGTGGTCGAATGACCCAATAGTAGGTAAGTTGATATAATATTATGATGAAACTAACAATCACTGTACCTAGAGAACGATCAAAGCTTTATATATATATATATAGGTATTTTTTGCATCTTTACTGGATATTTCATATACTTGTAGGAAAAAATTGCAGCTTTCGTCAATTTACAGTTAAATAAAAGCCATCAACGCCATATTGAGTCAGAAACGATGACCATTTAAATCTAGTGTGGTTAGACATCTGTATTTTTAATGAATAGACTACCTTCAACTCACTCAAAATATTTGATTTATGGTTGTTGACAGAATATACATTGAATGAAAGCATGTTTATGTGATAGCATGGAGCACGCTGATTGGTACATTCTTAGCTAATCACACATTGAAAGAAGACTTTAGAAACATTCTTACGAAAGCTCATAAATATACTGACGTTTTTATTACTTTGATTCTTTTCATTGGAATATAATTACATACCACCTGTTCAATCGGTGTTCTCATTTTGTAGAGTTATTGAGTGAAGTTAAATGATCGAAGAATACTATTTCTGTATCATATATGAATTCTAAAATGAAGTGGATAGGACACATACTGCCTCACAAGACAAACCCTCACTTGGAACCCTCAAGGACCAAGGAAAAGATGAGGGCCAAAGAACACATTACGCCGAGAAATAGAGAAAGAAATGAGAGAAATGAACAAAAGTTGGAAAGAATTGAGAAGGGAAGACCAGGACAGAGTTGGGTGGAGAAAACTGGTCGGAGGCCTATGCTCCATTGGAGATGACAGGCGTAAGTAAGTAAGTAAGTAAGTCAAAAATATAGTTCCAACTTTATAATCCTATCGAGATATTTACACTGTAGCTGTTTTTCTCTGGGGTTAAATTTTAGCGCGATGGAGAAAGAATAATATACTAAAACGAAGTTTTTCAGAATATCCAAGGAATAGAACTTTTTTCTATTATTTTTCATCAATAATAAAGCTGAGATTGGATTATATACAGACAAAGACAATGATTAGATCACTTGTGAAACACTAACACTAATGACTAACTTCCAGTCAGTCAGTCAGATGCAACGTAGAACTTCGTACGTAAGTACATCAGTTCATGTTGCCATACCACATCAGCACAGAGATATAATTGTCAATTCAAATCCAACTGTAGTAGAAGAGGTAGTAAGAGTATTAGGAGTAATCGGAGAGGTTAGAATTAGAAGATATTATTCAGGAAGTATGATTCAGTGAGAAAAGTATAGAAAGTCAAAACTAAAGGGGTTGAAGAATCCAGAAGATTAGGATTTGAGAGAACACAAAGAATAAATGCACCTGCGCCATTGCAAACGGTTTTGAGCCATGTCATTCAAGGTCTCTAACCATCGATTATTATCATCTCGCGGACCCCAACCAGGTAGTCGACAACTACCGACATGGCTCAGTCCACTTGTCAATGACTTCATGGATTTTTGCCATGTTTTGGTTTGGCCGCGCCTAGATTTCTTCCAACGTATTCCTACACTACAAAACATAGCTCGTCGAGGTAGTCGGTGGTTAGGCATACGCAGCACATGTCCCAACCACCTCAACTGATGAAGTTTCAGCACTTCATCTATTGATCTGCCATTCTTACCTAGCACCCGTTTCCTAATAACAGCGTTGCTCACTCGGGTGTCCCACGATATACGAGCAATGCTTCGAAGACACCTATGATCGAAAACAGATAACCGACGAATATCTTCTACTCTTACTGGCCATGTTTCACAGCCATAAAGTAAGACGGATCGAACTACTGCGCAGTACACTTGTCCTTTAGTCAGCAAACGGATATCTCGCCTACGCCATAAGTGACGCAGGTTGGCAAAAGCCAATCGAGCTTTCTGTATCCGAGCTGAAATTTCGTCAGCCGCCAGGCCATCAGCACTGATGAGACTCCCCAGATAAATAAGTGAAGCGGTCTACCCGCTCGACTATTTCACTCCCTATCGCTATAGTTCAGGTGCCGATGAAACACCCTCATATCATCCGGCCATAGTTAAAGTTTGAAAAGACAAAAAAAACTGTTACACCTACTGTTACTGAATATAAACATTGTAATACATATGGCAAACAAACAAAAAAAGTACTTACTGTACCAGCTGTATCAAGAATTTCTAACATACATTGTCTATCATCAATTTGGATTTGTTTTCTATAACTATCTTCAATAGTTGGATCATATTTTTCCACAAAAATTCCTTGAACAAATTGTACAGTTAGGGCACTTTTTCCAACACCTCCACTGCCCAAAACAACAAGTTTATATTCTTGCATTGGTTTTAAATATTAAAAAAAAATTCTCTTATTTATTGATTTATTCGTATTACTAAATTGTAGTTAATGTACGGAGAAATGAAGATGGACAAAATGCTTTCTTAATAACCGGATTTTCACTACACCTTCTTAGTACAGCCTCTAAACAATAGAAAAATAAGAAAATAGATTATTCCAAAAAAAATTGCTAATCATTGCCTTAAAAGTTGAAAATGAAACAGTAACAATTCTGTCTTTGATGAACAGTTAGTTCGGCTCAATCCTGTGGTGCAACCACACAGGAGGTACCTAATACCCTCTGGTGGACCATTCACACCGTTTCATATACACACACAATGGTATATATAAATTTCCGATCAATGATCGCGTCAATCAACATGCACCGCATGAACAGGCCATTTCGACCCATCCCGCTTACATGACTGTCAAACTCATTATTATTATTATTATTAGCAATGGTGATATGTAATACAGCACCCCGATGACAATGGCCCTCGGAAATGTCGCAAAACAACCACCTATATATCAATGAAATCGGTCACCCTGATAACCAATTTTGTATATGGACTGTTAACGATGCTTACCAAAGCAAAGCCAAGCCATCCACAATACACACAGCGAACCTCTAGCCTCATAGGAGACCTTCAGCTCTATATAGCAGTATAGCATATGATGTACACATATATGGCGCAGGATAGTAGAAGAAGCAGCTCAGCTTAATGCAAACAGGCCCAAACACTTCTATTACCCTTTGTCTCATGTCAGGCAATGATTTTTTCGCGTTTCCGAAATTTTCATTTTTCGACCATATGAGACCTGAGTTAGGGGTAGTATCCCTGATTGTCGTTTACGCCTAAAATATACGTTGTAAAGTATCTGTTTATTTAAGCACATAATTATTGGTAGAAAGGGACACTGAAATATTTTTGCGCCATACAAACCATTAAATTTATGTACGGACTGGGATACTACCTGAATGCCCAAACCCAATCAGATGTTTTCCTTTAGGTATCACTCCCCGAGTCTTTAATCTAGAGTTCAGTCTATAAAGCGGTAAAGCAACGTCGGGAAATGCAGTTGCATGCTAGTCGGCAATAGGCTCATACTCCCTTTGGAATTCAGGACCCTACGTACATTATTTGTCTGGCATTAGGGTTTTTCAACACTTGTAGGTGAATCTTCTGTATCCATCGACTTGACCTCATAAACCCGACCATTATAACCACAAGAAAAAAGTGAGCAAGAATTCCTCGGCAGTGGCTTTCCATGCATGGCCATGTGAGAGCATTTCAAGAGAGGGAGAAAATGGACTCTTCTGGCTTTCAGCCGAATCAGGGCTAAGATTATAATAACCATAGAGTAACCGTTTTATAAATCTATTTCTTAAAAGTATGCATGTGAACAGGTATGAGAAGAATGAGCGTTATACAAAACCTTTCCGTAGCCCTTTAATGTCTTAAATAAGGTCAGACTTATAGGCATAATAATCACATGATGATGAATTGGTATGGTAAATAGCCAAAACAAGCGAGTTTAGGGAGTAAGTTAAAAAAGGAACTATGTAGAGTTGAAACTCGATAAAATAACTGAACATGATTAAACTTTACAACCATCTAAGAGACGAAAATAACTGATTGAGTTATAGTAAACCAATAACACCGGGTTTTAGAACAGTCCTAATGATTTATGAAGGTAGAATAAACTAACTTTAAAAGGAAATAATTTGGAAAATGAGGCTTAGAAGATATGATGGATGCGCATAAGATACGTCAGTCAGGGGGGCATAGCAATTCAGCTATATATATATATATATATTGTGCGAATATTGCTAATTTTAGAAAATTCAGTCAGTCAGTCAGTTACAACGTAGAATTTCGCACGTAAGTACATAAGTTCAGGTTGCTATACCCCATCAGCAAGGAGACGCAACTGTCACTTCAAATCCCATAGTGGTAGAGATAGTAGAAGAATTAGCGGTAATGGAGAAGATTAAGGCTCGAAGATACTATTCAAGAAGTATACTTCAGTGAGATAACTTTAGAACGAGGAAGATAGAGATAATTTTAGAAGTTTAAATTGACCTAGGGCCAAGATAAAGCATCATAACAACCAACTAGTATTATCAAGGTATGAGTGGTGCGTAAAAACATAGTCTAGAGCGATAGAGAACAGCAGACCCTGGTGAACTTACCCCCGAGATTTTTAAAGATGGTGTTCCAGTTTAATGTCAGATTGACTGAGACCTTAACCAGAATCCCAGAACTGGACGGAATCCCATCTAAATGTTCTCAATCACTGATTGTCCCAATTTGTAGAAAAGGATAAAAGTTCTCTTTTGACAATCAGAGGAATCAGTTCAACTAATACATAGTCTAAAGTATAAGCGGCGATAATACTTAAACGATTAACCAGAGCTCGTGAAGTGCAAAATCAAGAAAACCAGGTTGGTTTTAGACCTATACGTAGATTTATAGATCTTTTTCAGAGTTAGTACGGTCCCAGGACATATACAAACATTTCGACATGCGTATTTCTAGACCTTAAAGTGACATTTGACTATGTTGGTCGTGAGGTTCTATGGCAATGGCTGTCATTGAAAGGAGTGTCGCACTATCTACTCAAACACTACTGTTCGGATAAGAGCTTATGGTAGACTATTATCCAAATCGATTACTTCAGATGGTGTTTGTCAGGACTGCCCATCTCCTTTATTCTTATTTCATTATGTCATAGACATGCTGTTAGAGATAACATTTTCATCGTTTGATATTTTAGGACTTAACTTTCTACCAGGAGATTCACTTGTCGACTTAGAACATGTAGGTGACGTAGTTCTGTTTGGCGAAGACAATGACAAAACGCAGTCTTCTGAACATCTTAAGCAACAATGCAAGCATGTTCGGGATACGATTATCCTTATCCAACTTAGAAATATAGCTCCAAGATTGGCATGCCTGATTGGCACCTGAACTAGTGATAGGGAGTAAAGTAGTTGAGCTTATCAACTGCTTCATTTATCTCGGGAGTCTGACTATTCCTGCAACCACTGAATAACCAATGCCAGTGCAAGGAGAAGGGTACTAGGTAAGGATGGAAAATCAATTGATGAGGTAGCAGCAGCCACTGGCTGCCTCAACGATCAATGAAGTTGGCTGGAAAGCTAGAGACAGTCAAACCAAAGCATGACGCAAATCTATGAAGTCAGTGACAACAAGATTAAATCATATTAGTAGATGCAAACTATTTCGGAGGGGCCCGCGAGACAATCGTAACCGGTAGTTAGATAGGTCGAATGACATGACTAAAAATCATTGCCAGTAGTGTAGGTAAATCAGTTTTTCATCCTCCTCAAAATCCTAAGCTTTTTAATTGCTCGTAACATTTTTTTGAAGAATTAATTTCACTGATTTATATCTTCGGTCTGTAGTCATCATTGTCACGAGCGCTGTTACCACTACTAATCTCTCTGCGTTAATGAAGTGTAGCAACTTGAACTGATATGATCAGGCACCATATTCAATTGACTGACTGATGCATGCAAATACAACTGTGAATATTTACCATGAAGGGCTACATACTAGCATAAAAAATAATAACTAGTAAGACCCAAGTCATACTGTAGCACTTAACTTGTAAAGCATTGTATTTGCGTTAGCAATTAGCGATGTTATCGAGCAGGAACGTGGCCTGTTAATTCGCCCTATTTTATTAACGAGCACACCATCTCATAAATCATATACCTCTAAGTATAAGATTGTTGGGATAGAAACACTGAGAGCTGATTGTCAAATAGTAACTTTAGATTTACCCCTCAGATGCTGCTTAAAGTCCGCATACCGTTTCTAATACATGTGATTTCTGAAAAAGCTTGCTAATGAAAATATAATTACTACTTGTCGCTTAATTAGCCTCAAGTGAATGATAACAAGTTTGTTTCAAAATAATACTAACAAGTAGCATTTACCGTACAGTAGTTGACAAATATTCAAAAGCAAAGTCAGAATAATACCTATTACCATTGGACACTAAAATATGAGGAACGGATAAACATGTTATGCAAAACAGGAAACAGGTGCAAAACTTAGTTTACGGACTCAAGAAACCAATTAAGCCGCCTGGTGGATTGCGCGCTGCTAAGTTATGATTGTATTGATTCAAATAATTATAATTATGTAGTAGATATTTTGCTTAATTAGCTTTCTTGTCTGAAGAAATAGTGCTGCGAATTATTCCGCGAACATAAAGAGAAGGTTAGTTTTTCAATAAGTTGTGACTGTAAAGTAAAATAATTCTATTTATGTTTGATTTTACATATGTGAACTACTACCTTAATTTTACAGGTTCTTACTGGACTTCACAACACAGTTAACAGAGCTTCTCTGATAATGATCGAAGATATTCTTTTTTCAGGTATGTATAAACCTGCATAATACTCCAGTGATATTCGCTAGATTTTCAAATGACCGATACTTTCTATATCCCTACGACAGAGTCAACCGTTAGTAAACATGTCACAAATTCGAATAGATCTGCAAGTTCTAAGCTTTAAAAGCTTTGTATTCAGTTATGGTATACTCGAAAAAGACATAAAGCTATTGAATAAATATATTTTCATATTTTTAGGGACGGAAAGTCAACATATCACTATGGTTGGGTCACACTATGTCTAAATGCTATTGACAGATGGTGACAGTTGTTTCAAAGAAAAGCTGAAACTCTTTTTCGGAAAAAGGCGTTGTAATTATTAGTCCTCCGTCAAGTCGACTGTTGAACTATATTCATTTCTAATCGATATGAGACATCTGTTGTCCGACATTCAACTTTAGTAAGCTGCGATGTGAAGTCAAGGTGTTGCAATTCCATGAGCGAATATTTATTAGCTTTAGACTACAATTCATTCGCCAATAATCTACTATCTGTGTAAAATACATATCCCTTTACATTTAAAATGTATCCAAAATCCTTAACAACTAGAAAGTGGTCTCTTTTTTGCCGGAGTGAGTTGTTCAAGAACCTTACGCTTTCCAATACGTTTCCGATAAACAAATTAGGGACACTTTGTCTTTTTGGAGAGGACGATTGCAGTCTTAACACGTAAATATGGATACCTAGTCCAACTTGGGAATCTTTAAATCGCGTTTCTTCGGCGAAACAGCCTGCACACTGACTCGAGCAGACAAAAGGCACGGCAGCGACTGCTCTAAGAATGACCTTACCAATCATCTGGATGCGGATATTAAATCAGTCCAAGTCTGAACGGCCAACATTTGTAGGGCGTTGATGAAATATCGGACATAAGACACCGAATTGTTGGGAGTTCTAAACTTCCTAAATAGTCTCCAATCACCAGTTTTCCTTATGAAAAGTATTTATAGGTTATGGCTGTTGGCTGTAAATGAATGAGCAGTGTTATACCTGAGCGCCTTGGCGGTTTTTCACTTAGCCTGAGGTCAATAGTGTTTGTCACGGTTAGAAGACCTCTGCCCATAAAGACATCCACAGTTTGTACTAGTGAACGAAAAGGTAATCGAGCCCTGCACTTTCGAACAGTACGGAACGTATCTTTCAAAAGCTGGTATCGGTCCTTTTCGGACTGCTTATCCCAACAGTATTGACGCTGGCCACGTTCTGTGGATTATGTCAGAAGTCGCACAGCAACTTTAAGTTTTCTCTTCGAAATTATTTTGAATTTATCAAGTATCTTATAACGAGTAGACATTTCACGAACCCATATCTTACGATTGTGTACCATTGAGGAGATTTAGACCCAAATAACGAACGCTTTTGGAGTTAAGTATAGATAACAGAACGCGGATCTTTTATAGGAATCTCTCTGAGTTAGCGTCATGCCTCTTGAAGTAGAGAACACTTAAGGAAACCGAAGTTATAGGTCACAAGAAGCAAATTACGAAAGTCGGGATGTGTTAGCCACAAACGTGTCTGTTCTCACTAATGAAAGATCTTATTCATTCCACATACCTAATATTGCTGAGTTTGATATTTCATAAGACAAGGCATATTCTGATGGGATGTTAGAAGTTTAAAACTAAGTCTGACACCAGCAATTTGTAGTAAAAATGCCTTATACTGATACCAAAGACGAATTCGAAAGTAGATGATTGTACATATCCAAAACTTTCCGATTGAAATAAAGACATACTGCGTTCAGGCTGACACTCTCCACCTAATTAAGCCATTTTCATCACAAAGCTTTAGGAGCCAGTCTTACCGTTTATTGCAAAACAGAGGGAGCAAGTGAGGTGTGAAGCACAACTCTTTTAAGACAAGCTGACACTTCATTATCCTAAAGCCGATTATCCACGTCCAAATCAAAAATTAGATACAATGTGAACAACAAGGACCAACTGCTAAGCCAGAACTTGTGACCATTGATTTTGTGTTTTGAAAGGAAAGGATAATAAATGCACATCAGGCCCAAGTTCGCTGTTAATTTATCTTTAGATTGTGATGAGTTTTTATCAGTCAAATTGACATGTGTGGTGGTGAATAATTCTCCAACACTAGATACTTCCGAAAGCATTCGACATAGTTAATGAACCCATTAGTTTTACTAGGCACACTTGTAGCTAGAGGCACTCGTTCACGCATTAGTACTAGATCATGGTTCGGTACACCGTTCTATGCATCCCACACAATAACTTTTCAGCTTAGATCATATACTTCTGGATGTGTTAGTCACCTTTCAGCCCTGAATTCTGGTTTCATTGGCTCTGAAGTCTTCTAACATAGGGCTGTTACAGATACAAACGTCGTAAAGTGCTAAATATTTATGACATATTGGATGGTGAGCCTCGACGTGATTTTGTACACCAAACGATTATATATGAGTTTGTTGTTTGTTGAGACGCAACGTGTATATTCTTAAATCGCCGTGATATAATGTTTCCACTGTGGAGTTGTGGTGATTGTTGAGTTTCATTGAGATCATGAATCGACCAGTGTTAGACCACCATTAGGGTCTCAGAGAGGCTGAAAGGCCGTTTGGTCATAGTACGGGACTCGAGAACGGTGGGCATACACGACATGTGCACGTGGGAATCAAGCTCGCGACCTTCAGTGTCGCATGTGAAAGCCTGACCTGTGAACCCCTGAGCCGGTATTCAGAGGTGTCGATGTCTAACTTCGATCGATCCACGACACTGTTCCATCCCACCTACTGTCTTCAGATAGTGACTACCCCTCACCTCAACAGAACCTGATAATAGAAATCATGAGACGAGCCCGCAAATGACCAGCCTCATGAGAAAATTCTCGGAGTTCTAGTGAGAGGCGGGGACCAGTGAAGTTAGTTTGTGTCGAATGTGAGGCAGCCAGAAACGATCAAAACTAGCAAGTTCGAAATCGTACTTGTGCCAGATATATTCGGAACAAGAACATCGACTGAGTGCATTGAGAAGAGCGTTGGTGATCAGGCCAGCTCTCACCAAGATTGAAATCGACGGTACGAACAGGACGATGGTCGTAGACAGAGGCTCAGGATACAAAATGAAAGAAAAAGAGAAAAGTGTAGCATACATGTAGTATGAGGATAATGTCCTATCGCGTATCCGTTGTTGCCTGGGTGGTTATAAGAGAAAGCCTACAGGTAGGCGTACGCGGCGACCGAACGCGAGACGGTAGTCTCGTGCGTACCTAGTGAGCCTGCAATCCCATCCGAAGTCAAGGGCGGCGTGGTCTGCTGATCTGGACGTGAGACCGGAATCTTATCCGTAGATAGTGCAGATGACGCGTGCGATTGACTTTGACTTGAGAATGAGGTCCCTGATTTGTATAGCATGGGATCGGAAGTAGATGTATGGATCCCGCTAGCAGATTTGACAGGTCTAGCATTGGGTCTCGAATTAGCAGGCAGGGTACTGTCATCGACGTGTTCTGGCTATAGACGATGAATGCTGACGATCTCGACGCGACCATGATGAGCGACATTGGAGGCCTTTTCATGATGAGAAATCACGTGAAAGGGTCCTTCGTAAGGCTGTTGCGAAGGTTTGCGTACTGAATCGACTCATATGAAAAAACGTGAACAGGAGATAACTCTCGAGGGAGAGCGGCCTGTCGATGTTGTACTGGAGTTGACACCGGTGGCAGTGTTCGCATAAATTCATACAGTCGTTGGACTTAGTCTGGTTTATTTGGGTTATTACTGCTCCGCGGTGTGAAAAATTCCTCAGGAAGACGTTATGACGTGCCGTATACCAATTCAGCGGTGGAACATTGAATATCTGTCTTTAAGCTCGCTAAGATACCTAAGAGTACGAGCGGTAACGTTTAGTACCAATTGTTGTTTTCGTGTGCTCAAAGAGCACTTTTAAGTTGTTGGTGAAACCGTTCAACTAAACCACTTGACGCTGCGTGGTAGGCTGTAGTGCGTATGCGCTCTATGCTAAGCAGCCAGGATAGCGGGGAGAATAATCGGAATCGAACTGTTGTCCTCGGTCAGTTGTAACAGTCGAAGGACATCCGTAAAGCTCTATCCATCGTTCTACGAAGTGGTGAGCAACAGTCTCCGCAGTAACAGAAGTGATGGGAATATCTTCGGGACATCTTAGGAAACGATCGATGCACGTGAGTATGTGATCATACCCATGCGATGGTGGCAATGGTCCCACAATGTCAATATGAATATGATCGGGGCCAGCATCAGGTGTATCAAATGTGCCGATAAGGTAGGCTTCGTGCCTATGCACTTTTGATTGTTAATATTGTAAGCATTGCTTTACCCACATACGGACGTTTTTATCTATGGAAGGCCAGACGTATCGTGCAGCAGTGAGACGTAATGTGGCTGCGATGCCTGGATCAAGGGCATCGAAGACGAGACGACGATGAGCAGAGAGTACAATGGGTCGGGGTAAATCAGCAGAGTTATCACACAAGATAGTACTGAAGCTAATAGCTAGGGGTACTTCTTGGCACTGAAGGGATGTAGATTGTTGTGCTTTGGGATAGGGGAGACATTTGCTTGGGCAGAGGCCGTAGCAGGAAGATCAAGCACCGGTAAAGTAACTTCATTCACTTGAATACGTGACGGAGCATCGGTAATACAGTTCGACTCGCCTTTAATATGACGGTCTGTCATGAACTGAGAGGTGTAGTCCAGATTTCTGCAATCTCGTGATGAGTAGCGGTCAGATTTGGTATGCAAAGCATACGTTAGAGGTTTATGATAGGTGGAGAGGATAAAGTTACCACCTTCCACTGCGTGCCGGAAATGTTAAATGGAACAGTAGACTGCTAGCAGTTTGCGACCCAAAGCACCATACTCGTCTCAGTGGGAGTAAGGCGTCGTGAGAAAAATTTGATAGGTTGCCAACTTCTGTAGATGCTTTGTTTCATAACGGCTCCTTTAGGAAAATCTGATTCATCAACCGCTATACTAAGCTTGGCTGATGGGTCAGGATGGGCGAGAAGCGCTACTACAGCTAAAGTTATTTTGAACTCTGAAAGTGCTGTGCGCCAGGCATCGTTCAGTTCTTATTTACGTGGATTACCCCGAAGCAGATCGGCTAATGAAGTATCGAATAGCTGCAGCCTACCGAAATCGACTAGCAATTCGTAGTGCAGTAGGAAGTCGATACCAAGTATGGTTGTGGGAACGTCAGCAATGATGAACGTCCACAGATACTGTCGTCGGTTGCTCAGGCTGGCTGTTAGATATCATGTGCCATGGAATGATAGAGCCATTCACAGCACGTAGTCGAAGCATCATAGGTTGAGACTTACTGCAACGACATGGTAAGACAGAAACTTGGACACCTGTATCAACGAGGTACCTAGCGTTAATGCTGATATCGTGCACGCAAAATTGGAGGCCAACCTGAGGTGAGGAGCACTTGAGTACGGCCGCGTTTACTCGCCGGCTCGGGAGTTTTAATGACTTGTATGAGCAGGGCGCTCGACAATGATGGGCACCGGACCTAAAAGTCTGGCAGAGTCGGCCATCGTAGGTCCTGCCAAGGATTGCCGGAGCGTGAAGTGGTTGATAGGTTTAGCATCACCCGGGGGCTGACGCGCTAACAATATACTCAACAGTTCCTCCTCCGATGGGAGGAAGTGTCTGAAAATCGCCTGTTTGAGACGATCGTAGGCATCTGGTGTAGAAAATTCACTTCTGTGGACCTTGATTTCGGAAACAATTAGAAGTCAGAGACGTGCTTTGCCCAGTCCACTTTCAAAACACAAGTTTTCTGGGTAAGAACGGTTCTATTATTAATCAAAAAAGGAATATAGACGATCACCTAAACACTATAATACTGTTCCGATCCAAAATTAACACAATGAGTTTCCAATTCTGGAAGAATGCGTCATTCCAGTCAAGTTACCGCAGAGGTATCAAATCCGATATGGCTATGACCATATTAAGTATCAATTTAAACAACACATTCAGAGTTTAGAAGGAAACATATAAACTCCAATATAAGAAAAGAAAATAGGAATTATAACAAAATACAAACATTATCATCCCAAAATGGGACTAAACAGAGTATCAAAATATTGAACAAAAAGAGTCAGCAAGATCAGAACACAAATATATGGATGGAGGGATTTTCCCGAAAACGAAGCCCTCAAAATGGATTCTACATATGGCACGGTAGGATTAAGAACAACCTCACGGACAGCGGCTATATGGTCCCCAGCGAACAACTACAGGATATAGGCATTTGCCGCTGGTTTGTGATGCGTTTGACCCCAAATTGAGATTCCAGTGCAGCAAACCCGACCCCTGGGTCGTGGGGCATGAAAGCGACAAGTCAAAAATTAATGACCTGTAACTGGGAGTCCTTTCGGTTTTCGTTATTTTTAGGTCTATCCGCCACTTTAAAACGTTGTTGCAGATATAATATATATAATAAAATATCCATATATGTTATACAATTGTTAAAACAGTAAACAAAAGTGGATCGAGAAATGATATACTCACTGTAGTTGGTGCATGTTCGTTTTCGTCGATGAGAGATGAAACTATCATTCGCGATAGATCCAGAAATCAGAAAGAAGACGATAACTACATGAAGAGCGGTTTTGATTCGTGGTCTCGTGATATCGAAATAATATCAAGACCGGAATAGAGAAGCTGCTAACAACCAACGGGCAGAAACGTGGAATGGGAGTAACATACTTGGTGAGCGAGCTATAGTCCTTAGTGCAGTAAAGCAAATGGAGTACAATGGAACAATTATTGTTAGGATTAAGTACAATAATAAATGCTTCCATTTCAGCAGTTGTGTTCTCTTCGTAAAAGTATGCCACTACACTTCCTTAAGTTACTCATACAATGAAGAGTGAAGGTGTTCATGTGCTTGTATAATCTTGCATATTAACCCCTGATAACCTTAGAATATTCGAGTCTGAAATCAGTTAATTGCTGTGAACTGTGTTCTATTATGCGTTTCGTTTATGATGTCCGTATTCTCTTTTTCACTGCATGTTGACTGTGTTGGACTTAGATTTTACCTGTTTACGTTTCATTAGTATATTCTTCATGATTCGCTTAATATATGACCTATCTTTTCGAAACGCAAGAAATATTTACATATCCTCAAGCAAGCAGGATACAAATGGGATTGAATTTTTTCAGAGTTTGACAATTCTCTTCATTTTTTAAACGAACTGGAATAGTTATCCATCTTGCTTATGTTATATGTTTCGGAACTTCTTTACTTTTCTGCCAGTCATATGTTGGTATTATTCTCATCTTGGAACAAATGCATGACGAGATTCCGCCAGTCTCTAAGTTGTAAATAACTGAATCTATTAACTGGAGGAACCATTGTTGACTATTGCTGAAGTTCCCGATGAGGAATGATCACAAGTTTATTAATATAAAGTCGGTGATGGAATTATTTCAAAAGGAATGTAGGACAATGAATGGTACTCAAATTTACACAAATTTAGACAGAAAATAATACAGGATGTTACTTAGATTGTTTGAAGGATGAGTGTCCCATTCTTTCGTCCTGCATTCCACAACTGTGTAAATAGCACTGCCCAAAATGATATATATAGTCCAAACAAACAGAAGAATCGAACTATAAGATTGTTATGATCTTTTAGTTTGGGTAATAGTGTATAGGAGAGCGGTAATTGATGTGACACATATTTAGAACAGATCAGTGACTAACGATCATGGATAAATTTAAACTATTTCACAGTCAGTAACAATGGTTGTACAGATGAAATGGCTCTGCAAAAAATAGTAAAAATAAAAAGTTTTTCAAAAAAGATAAATCTTTGACATCCGTATCTATGATTGTTGGCTTAAACAAGCTGGCTCACCAGTGCTTTCTAAAATTTAAAAACTGAAGTGAACAAACATTAAAATTAAATTTGGTGAGTTACTGAAATAACTTCAGTGTTTTTTAAGTTCAAAGCAAATGTTTGTACCCCTAGGGTTTATGTGAAGTGGGACGGCGGTGTCTCAACTGGCTGTTTCGTTAGCGGTATTTTGAGTTCGTCTTCCCATCGTTTTCTGTTTCATCATTTATTTACACTGTCCTTAAAATCATCTCACTCTTGCTTTAAAGTACGGCATATAATTTATTTAATAAACGTATCCACCGTTAGGTCCCAAATATTCACCTTTTTAAGAATAATAGGCCGTTAATGTATTACCCTTCCTATGTGTGGTGATTTTTACTAAGCTACGGGACGATTCTCGTTGTCTGAGTCTTAGTTCAAGATAATTGAGTATGAATTTGGAATCATTTTTTACATATTTTTGCAAGTGAAATATGTGGTAATATATAAAATTGGTGATAAATATGTTCTAAATGTTAGTTCTGAGTTAAAGGGTCCGCATTGTGGCTTCAGAAGCACAAAGGTGGTAACGCTTCGTATAGTCATTCTTGTGGCTAATAGGTTGTGTTTCTAAGTTTTCATATCACTTTGAGGATTTCTTTATGATACTTTAGCATCTGGCTTGAGTTTTCCTGCCTTCTCATTATCACTTGCCATTTTTACGCCATTTCTAAACTGAAGCGGCATACATATTTCCTATCAGACAAGTAATATAGTGGTTTTTCTGTCCCGTTTTAAATGAAGTGCAGTCTTCTTTTTTACGTGCCAACTTGTATACTTAAAGTAATGTGTTTGAGTGTTGATTATTTCACATTTACAAATCATCTCCTGTATGTATGTATTATTGGCTAAACTAGTTGCAGATGCTTCAGAATCTAGTTTGTGTTAGTGCCCACCAATTTTCCTAATTGCTAGGCTTTCAGGCATTGAGTTACAAATCAATCTTAGCAAGTTAGTAGTGTTTATATTCCTCATACAAGTATAATGCAAGGTGAACTCAATCAACTGTTGTTTAGCAATTGATATTCGTTTACTAAGTAATCTAGTGTAAGACAGTATTTTCACTTAAGTAGATCTGATATTTAAGTATTATCAAACTTTTGAAACTAAAAATCCAAAGAGTTAAACTTCAAATGTAACCACTTCTCTAAATTTGTTAAACTACGTTATCCAATGACGATAACTGTTAACAGCACACTATGTATTTGTTTGAACTTCTTGACTTTCCGTTTTGTCTAATTATGAACAGTGTCTTAGTGATTCCGTCGTATAATTCGTGTATATGACCTTTCTCTTTTATTTACTTTACTATTTCGACTAGGTACCGCCTCTAATTTTTAATTTGAAGCGTAAAACAGTCTTATTACCACGTATTCCCTCATCATTTTGTTTATATAGTGTATACCTAAGTTTTCAAGCTATATAAATAATATGGTGGAAAGTTTATCAAAACTGAAATACATTAGCCCAATACATTACACTGCCTAAATTTATCAAACGAAATGTTCTAATTATTATGTTACTGTTTTGTAGATCTTGAACAAACTGTAAATTCTAGTTGAGTCTAATTCTCAGATCTTCAAATGGATCAAACTATGGATCATTCACTGATTGAAAGTGAACGAGAGTATGTAGAGTTTTTGGATGAAACAGTATGTTTTTGTGTGCATATATGAATTTTTACACTTTTAGGATGAGTATAAAGATCGTATCAATTCGTTAATTACTCGTGACAGTATTCGTCTAATGATCAATATTAATGATTTACGTCGTCAAAATCCTGGAAGAGCTAATAAGTTAGTTAATTGATTTAAAATCTTATTTGTTAGACTCTTAGAAAATGCTTGTGTAGAAATAGTAGCTTGTCAGAGAGCACTCAAAAAATGCGTTCAAAATGCAAATCCAGATTTTGCTAAAACAAAACACGAGTTCTTCGTTGGTTTTGAAGGAAGGTTTGTTTTGGCGAAATAAATCTATTTAATTTAGTTTTGGATCACGTCATGTAACACCTCGTACACTGAATTCCAAACTATTAGGAAATATGGTTTGTTTAGAAGGTATAGTAACAAAAGGTAATATTAAATATTTTCATCATTTATTTTAAAGCTTCACTTATACATCCTAAAGTTGTATGCAGTGTACATTATTGTCCAACTACAAAAAAAACAATTGAACGTCGTTATGCTGATTTAACAAGTTTAGAACCATATCCATCAGTTGGTGTATATCCAATAAAAGATGATGAAGGCAATTTATTAGAAACTGAATATGGATTATCCGTTTATAGTGATCATCAAACAATCACAATTCAAGTATTCTACTGCTAATTTGTAATTTTTTTGATCATTTATAGGAAATGCCAGAAACTGCACCAGCTGGTCAATTGCCACGTTCTATTGATGCATTACTTGACAATGATTTAGTTGATGCTATTCAAGTAAGTATTTCATCTGAATAAAATTGTTTATATAGAATTCACTTACAGCCTGGTGATCGAGTACAAATTGTTGGTCATTATCGTTGTTTACCAGGTAAAAAAAATGGTTTTACTACTGCAAATTTTCGTACTGTCATTATTGCAAATAATGTACAATCATTAAGTAAAGAAACTGGTCCAAATTTTTCAGAAAAAGATATTAGTATGATGCGATTAATTTCAAAACGTAATGTAAGTTTTCTTTTTTTTTAAATGACTAATTTTTATCTATATTGAAAATGTATGTACTACTCTATGTTAAGGAACCTTAATAGTAACAATTTAACTAAGCATGACATCCTGACTTTATAAAATGGTTACTACTATATTTTTCGGTTAATCTATGAACTATGTGTTTGACACAACGTATCTCAACTTCAATTGGAAGTTTGGTTGTAAGCTTTTGAAAAAAAATACTTTACTTTGTTTTCCCAACCAGTGTAGTTCGTTTAAATTAAGTTCTTATGTCAATCAATCAACAGCAACGTAGAACTTCGTACGTAAGCATACGTACATCAGTTAAAGTTGCCAAACCATATTAGCACAGAGATGCAATTGTCAATTCAAATTCCATCGTAGTAGAGGTAATGAAACCCGACCGAAGCTGCTACCTTGACGTGGTGGTCGGACTTGCCTATCGGGATGACCCAACCGAGCTATATTGGCTGGAAAATATGTTCCTGTAGGTTCTACCATGCCAGGCAGGTCGACTGGAGAACAACGATTAGACTAAGAGCAGCTGCTCAAGGTCTGAGGGCGAAGTCGTACTGCTGACTGCAGAGAAGTGTGACAGCAGTAAGGTGTTTCCCTCGGACAACCAGCATCTACAGCGATGCTACCTTCTCACAAGGAAGGAAGGGTTAGAAAAGGTCGACCCTAAAAATGTCACACCTCACCCTACCTCACAGATTTCCGTCTCCTTGGGTAAGGGTGCTCACTAAATGCTTTTAAGAGCGGAGCTAATACTCAAAAAATCTTTGATAAAAAGGCCGTGCGTGACTGGCTCCAAGCATTTGGCCTTTCGGCTCGACGGTCACGCTACCAGGTCTTGAAGATCAACTTTAATCTACCTTCCTTTTCAGGTTCGTCAAGAAACAACCTTCGACTATGTGGGCAGCCGGGAAGTGATAACCGCCCTGATACCTGTAACAGCACGAGAGACCAAATTGGTCAAAATCAAATCCTTTCTACACCCCCTTATTAGCTCTCTTATCTCCACGACTGAGAGGTAATAAAAGTATTAGCAGTAATCGGAGAGATTAGGGTTCGAAGATATTATTCAAGAAGTAAAATTTAATGAAATAAACTTAAGCAGAAAAACTTCAAGGTGATAAGGAATTCAGAAGGTTAGGATTCGAGAGGACACAAACAATGAATGCACCTGCACCATTTCAAACGGTTTTGAGCCATGTTATTCAGGGTCTCTAACCATCGATTACTCTAAGTTCTTACGTGATTAAAACATATTGAATGCATATTAAACGAATATTTATACAATAGGATAATGTTTACAAAGTGAAAAATATGGCAGTGACATCATCTAGTCATTTTATACAATGTCACATAGTTAACAACTGGGGAAGGTTATAACCTCTCTTACGTGAATAAGACCAGTGGTTAAAGCTCATGTCAGTCAACAACAACAACATAGAACTTCGTACTTACGTACATCAGTTCAATTTGCCATACCATATTAGCAAAGAGAGATGTAATTGTCAATTCAAATCCTGTAGTAGTAATGGTAGTAGAAGTATTAGCAGTAATCGGAGTAGATTTGGGTTTGAAGATATTATACTAGAAGTAGAATCTAATCAAATAAACTTAAAAAGAAAAAGGTACAGGTGATGAGTAAATCAGAAGGCTAGGATTTGAAAGAATGAATGCACCTGTGCCATTGCAAACAAATTAACTCGCTAAAGCTCATACATTGATTTCTTATGTTTGGTTTAATCACATCACAACGCGTGGCTGGTGGTTAGACTAATGATCACTGCATTTTTTGTAAGTCGTAAGAAACTTGACAGTAGCATTTTAATTCCTTCAAGAAGTAGTTGATAAGATAGATTTCAATGTATTTGTCCAATAAGTTAGTTGTTTGTCTAAACCATTATTCACAACAGCCTGTTTTGTTGTTAAAAATCATTTTCATGCCCTTTGGGATTTCTCGACAGTCTTTTTTTTTGGTATATGCTAAGTATACATATACCAAAAAAAAAAAACCTGCGTCACTTATGGCGTAGGCGAGATATCCGTTTGCTGACTAAAGGACGAGTGTACTGTGCAGTGGTTCGCTCCGTCTTACTTTATGGCTGTGAAACATGGCCAATGAGAGTAGAAGATACCCGTCGGTTATTGGTTTTCGATCATAGGTGTCTTCGAAGCATTGCTCGTATATCGTGGGACACCCGAGTGAGCAACGCTGTTATTAGGAAACGGGTGCTAGGTAAGAATGGCAGATCAATAGATGAAGTGGTGAAACTTCATCAGTTGAGGTGGTTGGGACATGTGCTGCGTATGCCTAACCACCGATTGCCTCAACGAGCTTTGTTTTGTAGTGTAGGAATAGGTTGGAAGAAAGCTAGGGGCGGCCAAACCAAAACATGGCAGAAATCCATGAAGTCATTGACGAGTGGACTTAGCCATGTCGGTAGTTGTCGGCTACCTGGTTGGGGTCCGCGAGATGATAATAATCGATGGTTAGAGACCTTGAATGACATGGCTCAAAATCGTTTGCAATGGCCCAGTTGCGCTTATTCTTTGTGTTCTCTCAAATTCTAATCTGCTGGATTCGTCAACACCTCTACCTATATCTTTCTAAACTTATCTCATTGAATCTTACTTCTTGAATAATATCTTCTAATTCTAACCTCTCCGATTACTACTAATACCTTTACTACCTCTTCTACTATTGGATTTGAATTGACAATTATATCTCTGTGCTGATGTGGTATGGCGACATGAACTGATGTACTTACGTACGAAGTTCTACGTTGCAACTGACTGACTGACTGACTGGTATATGCTAAGGAGCAATTTCATATACATTGTAAAATACATTCTTTTTTTATAATTTCTACTTAACAGGATGTTATTAATCTTTTAACTCGTTCTATTGCACCATCAATTTGTGGTCATGAGCATATTAAAGAAGCAATTCTTTTACTATTATTGGGAGGTGTTGAACGTCAACTTACTAATGGTTCTCGTATTCGTGGTGATATCAATCTCTTATTGATGGGTGATCCTTCAGTTGCAAAATCACAATTTCTACGTTTTGTTCTTCATATTGCACATCGTGCTATTGCTACAACTGGTCGTGGTTCATCAGGTGTTGGTTTGACTGCTGCAGTTACAACGGATATGGAGACTGGTAAGTTAAGTTTATGCTTATTCTTCTTCACAAGCTGTCTAGTTAATAGTCTAAAACAGATGGCGGTATCTTTTCACGCTCTGGGCAGCCGGGAAGTGACATCCGCCCTCGTAACAGCACATAAGACCAAATTGATCACAATCAAATCCTTCCTGTTCTTATGTGGTATGGTAACCTGAACTGACGTACGAACGTACGAAGTTCTACGTTGTAACTGACTAACTGACGACGAAACAAAAACTCCCCAGAAACAAATTTTCATACTTGGCTCTAAGCCGCCACATTCTGTAAGTGTATTAGCTAATAATACTACTCAGTTGCCTTAAACGAAATAACAGGAATGAGGTTCGAATCTATAACTTAGTGTCTGAATTTAAAACGTCTTAACTATTAAATCACTAGTTTATTAAAACGGTCTTTTTAGTAGTGTTCGTCATGTTATTCATATCGTGAATGAGTTTGCTTTAACCTGAAATGATTTTTATTCTAAAATTGTTATCGATTACTGATTCGTTTTAGTACTTCGAAACATGTTCAATATGATTACAATCGTTCAAATTCCTCATTCATGACAGTAAGACATTGATATAAATCCCAGGTTTACTGCACACCATCTTATTATATTTTTAAATCATACTTCAACTCACCAAATCAGCGGAGAGTATAAAGCAGATAAAATCTCCATTATCAAGTAGCGCCTCCAATAAGAAAGTAAACTTGACAGAATAAAAAATTATACGTACGAAAGTATTGATAAGAAAAGCAAAACAAAGATTACAGTTATATGTGAAGTAGTTTTGTCATAGCTGTTACGGGTATGAGGGCGGATGTCACTTCCCGGCGGCCCACACCATGGAAGGGTGTTTCTTGAGGAACCTGAAAAAGAAGGTAGATTAGTTTTCGTCTTAACGACCTGGGAGCGTGACCGCAGAGTCCAAGGGACAACTGCT